TGGCTTCCATTCCATAACATGCAAATGTGTGTGAGCCAGGCAGATTGTGGTGCTGCATGGGTCAGATTTGCTACCATTCTGTATGTAACTGAGTTCAAAATTCAGTATTCGGTAAAAGATTGAAAAACTAATTTCAAAATGAGGTGCACGGCCATATATATGGGCTTTACTGTGCAGTGCATGTCTGATTTCTTTGCTCCGAGGTAAAATATTCACTGATCATGGCATTCCTGCTAAACCTCTGTGTATTTTACAGATTTTACTGCTGTTTAACACAGCTGCTGAGGAGCTCTTGTTATTTAAAATGGGGAGATCTTTTTTACTAGAGAAACTGAAAGTTAATGCTTTTTCCCCCCTGGCATTTGAGTACAGAAGTAGTAATGGTACTTGCTTTATGCTGCATTTTCCAGACTAAGGGCTGGCAGGACAAAGAGCAGCGGAGGAGAGAGGAGCACCAGGGATAGGGAAAGCTGCATCATGAGGAAAACCACGCCCCCTGGCATATGTGATAGTGTGGCTTAGCATGACCAGATGTCCCAATTTTATAGGAAAAGTCCTGATATTTGAGGCTTTTTCTTATATAGGCAGTTGTGAAGCATGGGACATCATGACTACATTAGGAACATTCCTACCCTCACCCTTACTGCAGGCTGGCTGTGGCAGGAGATCACTTATACTGGCTCGGGCCAGCTCAGTGGCCTCTCTACTTTGTTCCTGAGGCATTTGCCTTTCACACCAGAACATGAAGCCCAGTGTATGCTAGCAGTGTATGGGGGGAGGGGAGTAGAGGGAGGATGGATAAAGAAGAGAGAGCAAAAAAGAATTAAAAAGAGAGAGAGAAGAAACTCACAAAAGTTAGAACAGAGATGAGAAGGAAAAAAGAGACCGTTGTATGCAGGTCTAAAGTGCTCATGGGCAAAAAATCTGGGTACTTGGAACAGGGGGAGAACAACAAGAGAAAAAGAAACTAGACAGGTGAAAGCAGAAGTTATAATCCAAACACACAAAAATTGTATGACTCCAATTCATCAAGCTGTACATGTATCCCATCTACACAACCCCGTGTTCCTGTCATTGTTACTCATGCCCTCCCTCCTCCTCTTTCCACCCCTGCCATTCCCTTCTTCTGATTGTTACACCCACTTTTTGAGTCATGTCTTCAATTACATTATACACTTTTCAGGATGGAGACAGTGTCTTTCTATGTGTTTGTGCCATGCCCAAAACAATGGGGCCCCAGTCGGGCCCCAGTCTTGATTGAGAACTCTGTGTGCTACTGTAGTACAAATAGGGAATAAAGAATAATTAATGTACCTGTACTTGGCACAAATGGATATGAGGCAAGGACTGTAAATGCCAGGTACTGGCCAGTCCTATTTTGAACAATACTCCAGGTCCTGTGTGAATTCTTCATTTATGTCTTAATGCACCTAAACAGAAAACAGGAATTTTGTGCTGAATGAGTCCTCTGCCTCAGGAGAAATGAGTGACCATTCAGCATGAGTGTTGGATTGACTAGGGGATATTAGACCTTCACTTATTAATTCTGGGCTTCTCAAGTTTCCTATTGACACTTTTCTCCTCTCCGCCTCATATTATCAAATTTCTCGTGTGTCTGCCTGCCTGGGAATCCCAGCATCTATGTTTCTGCACCTTGGAAGACCGTTATTGTGCACAATGATTATAGACTTTGGTCTCAGTCCTGTTCTCACAGTCACAAGCACCCATTGCCACATGTCAGATTTACACTTGGGGAGCCTGATCCAAAGCCCACTGTAGTCAGCAGGAGTCTTTCCATTGACTTCAGTGAGCTTTGGATCAGGCCCGTGCATAGCATCTGGCTTCAGAAGACACACAGCACAGTGTGTGACTGTCTCTCAACAGGGTCGGCCTTAGGGGAAATGGCACCATGGGCAAATTTGTATTTTGGTGCCCTTTCTTTGAGGTTAAGTACGGATACACAGTGCAGTCACACACCTTGAGTTTACTGGAGAAGCTTTTAAGTTATGGTGTGGACTGGACTGTGTGCACCTATAGCAGAGACCGCTGCAAACAGCCTGGGCAGCCCGTACACTCAGCGCTGGATCGCTGTAGCACCCAAGCCTCTGGCACCCATGGCGAGAACACCGGGCTGGCAAGCGTGCAAAGCGCTGGAGGGATGGGAGCGCAGTAAGGCACAAATGGAAGCCCAGCACAGCTCGCACCAAGCACAGGGTCTGTTTCCCCGAGCTGCTGGGAACCTGCCCTGGGAGCTCCGCCGCCTCCACTCCTCAGCACTGCCCAACTTTGGACACCGTTGTGCGGCCACAGGAGCGCTTGCCACCAGCCCGGGCGCGCCCCATCCACCCCTGCTCCATAGGCATCTGGGGGCAAGTGAGCAGCTACCTTGGTGGGTGGGCTGCACCAGGCTGCCTGGGGTGAGAGGAGACAGTTGGCAGAAGCAGCTCACCCCACAACCCAGCACAGACTGGCGCATGGTATAACCCCGGGGGCAAGGCCAGCCCTGGTCCCTGCCTGCCCTGCAGGGCACTTCCCCAGGCTCAGTGGCACTCCTGCAGCTCACCCCTGTGGCAGACCCTCCCAAGCCACTAGTTGAAACAACACCCCCTGCAACTTTTGCCCCTCCCCCAGCTGGGAGCCAGCCCGACCTGCCTGCCCCTTCTGCCAAGCTGGAACACCACGCCAGCAACGAAGCCACCCACAAGTGGAGGGCGGAGTCCAGGTGATTGGTGCTCGCCTCTTACCTTGCAGTGTCTGCTTGACCACAGCATCCCCCTGACCAGCCCTGTCTCTCAAAGCAGGACAGACAGCTGTGTATGTAAAATGTCAGTCATCTCATTTTATCTTTTATTCAGTTGAGGTTGTGCATGTTAAATTTTGTTGTACAGTTTTTTTATTATACTAATTCACGGAACAAATGATAAATGTCCATGTCTCTCCTTGTGCCTGAAACAGTCTGGCTTGGAGTTTGTTGCTGTTTTCACAGCCCATCCTTGTGCTCGTCTTTGTTCTGTTTTATTTATTTCTGTATTTTGCTGCTGCTGCCAGGTTATCTCCTCTCCTTTCCTCTTGTTGATGCCGGGTATTGCAAATCCCCGAACTCCAGTCCTAGGGAGAGTCATTTGTAATTTCAAAGTGTGGAGTCATTTGTAATTTCAAAGCTGTGAGAGGAACAGTGGTATTGTATATACAGGCATGGCAATTTCGTTAACAATGGAAAAACTTGTGGGTGGGATAGGGAGAGAATGTAACCCCTTGCTTCACTAGCTGGCATGCATTGTGATTGCTGCAAATCCAGCCACATTATCATAATATGAAGGAGTAAAAGTTGGACAAGGATTTCAAACAGATGGTGCATAACAAGGCACATAGGTCAAATGTTTCTAAACAAGTTAAGGTAGCAATCATTCTGGTTTGGTGATGAATTTGTTTTTTTGCTGAAATCCCGTGTAAATGATGGGGTATGATGTCAACATGTTTACACAGCATCTTGGAGCGAGCCTCCCAGCCTGGTTCCTCAGACTTGTGGTAGCGGGGCTCATGCCAGTGCACTAAAGACAGCTGTGTAGTTGCTGCTTTGATATTGCGGCTCAGGCTCTCAAGCTTCCCCTCCCCTCCCAACCCTACTCCCCTTCCGCCCCAGGCTTCAGAGCCCAAGGTCTAGCCCAAACCATGTCTACACAGCTATTTTTAGAGCACTAGCACGAGTCTGTGGACCTGGGCTGGGAGGCTGACCCCCACACGCAGTGTAGACATACCCATATTGAGTGGACAACACATTCTAAAGCAAAGTAAAGATTTTTTCCTTTGGAAATGAGGTCCCCTGCATCTTTGATGGAGCCCAGCTGATCCTCATCCTCCCCTACTTATCATTCAAGACTCGTCATCAGAGGCATTAATTAAGCTTGCAGCAATGAGATCCCCTTCTGTGCCTGTCAGTGGTAATGCTCAGTCATCTGGAGAGGTCACTGCTGAGCAGAGTGAGATGCTCTATTCCCTGCAGCAGATGAGCATACCATTGTCTGCAAAGTTTTCAGCTATGCCCCTAGCCAGCTAGCGAAAGACTAACACATCCTTCAGAAGACGTGTTCCCCCTTCTTTTTCCTGTTTGTTCCCTTCTTCCTGTTGGCAATTACTGCAGCTCTTTTTATGTCAGTTTTAGCTGGAAGTGGTTGTAAGTGGCTTTTATTTTTAAACAAAGTCTATAAATAGTCGCACTAGTATCTTTGGCCATGTGATACAGAAAGTCTGTGATACGTGCTTTATATCAGAAAACTGTTCTGTGCACATTAATTTTCATATATATCTACAAAACTCTAGCAGAAATTACCTACACTCAACAACAATGCTACAGACACTCAATGTATAATTTTCAGATTGCTGCACAAAAGTACTGATCTTGGCAAGATATTATCAGAAGGCCAAATCCTGCAGTGAAGCAAATGTCCCATTGGTTACAAGAGTTTATTTTGCTTGAGTAAGGGCTGCAGGCATCGTTCTGCATACCTCTTCAGATTTCATTTGTGATACATAAGTAAAAGCACCAGCAAACTGTTGATGGCCACTGACAAAATTTAAACTCAATCATTCATAGCTGTATTTCTATTTCAGACAGATATATAAGCTTTTCAAGGCAGGGACTGTTGTCACTATGTGCATGGTCCAGCAGCTAGCAAAATGAGGCCCAAATCTCGGTTCAAGCCTCTCCATTCTACTGTAGTGCAAATAATCAGTGAGAATACTCATAATATATTTCTTGCATTAGTAAATGAATTTAGAAAATTCTCTAATATTCTATTAATGTGGGCCAATTTTCCTGCCTGCTGCAGATCCTGTTTTCATTAGGAGCTGCAGTCTCAAAAGAGTTTATTTTATTTAAATAGATAATAAAGAAATTTAAGTTAAATTCTTTTCACTGTAGTTGATGTCTAAGCAGCAGCTAATGTGATGTGTAAGGTAATGAGTAAAGATGTGTCTCATATGGTTTTCCTTTATTTCAGATGCAGAGAGAAATTGCTTACATAGGCCGAGATGGCCCAAATACTCTCCGGCCAGGATCTGCTACACATCCTTCTCATGCAATTCCAAGCTCATCACCCATGACAGCTGTGCCCCACTCTATGCCCCCGTCTCCATCCAGAATTCCTTATGGTGGGGCCAGGCCCATGGGCGTGCCAGGCAATGCAACAATTCCCAGAGACAGGCTCTCAAGTGTGCCAGCATCAAGATCCATATCACCGAGCCCTAGTGCCATTTTGGAAAGAAGGGACGTGAAACCAGATGAGGACCTGAGTAACAAAAACCTTGCGCTGTTTCGAAATGAAAACCTGTATGCCGACCCCTACCTGTATCACGAGGGGAGGATGAGTGTTGCTGCTCCCCATACTGGACACCCTCTTGACGTTCCTGATCACATTGTAGCTTATCATCGCAGTGCAATGAGGTCCTCAAACACTTACTGTAGCCCCTCTCTGCAACCTGAAATGATGGAGCAATCGTTGTACAGACAAAAACCAAGAAAATACCCTGACAGCCATTTGCCAACACTTGGTCCTAAAACTCCTCCTGCCTCTCCTCACAGAGTCACTGACATGAGACTGATTGATATTCATACTCAGCATAACACTCATGTGCCCTCTCATGTCGTCCAGCCGGACAGGTCTTCTCCTAGTCGCCAGTCCTTTAAAAAAGAACCAGGAGCACCTATGTTTGTGGAAACAAAAGCACGGAATGCTATGGGTTCACCTGGCCTGGTCGAGGTAGTTCCTTCTGCAGCTGACAAACAGGTGTTTGGCTATGGATCAGCTGCGGTGCCCAAAGAGAAAGAGACAAGGTAAGACAGAGCAAGAATGTAAGGTATGTAAATGAGAGAGAATCCTGATCTGTGTGCATAACCTCATTTAACATACTGGAGCCCAGTATACTGGGGTGTGGTCCTAACAGAGCTATTAGGGCAGTAAGTAATTTAAAGGGGCCTATGCACCAAAAGAACTAAATTTACTTCCAAAAAAGTGTTGCCTCCTAATGGTGATCCAGGATCATTTTAATTAGCGTACATTTCAATCATTTTAAAAAATAAAATGATTAACTGGGATTTTTTTTTAGACAAATAAATCATGTTACAAGAACAAATGTTATGCTGCTAGTGTTAATAAGGGAATATATTTCACACCTATTCAGAATGGCACTCTGATATTACAATTTCTATTCTTTATGGAGTGGGGTTTTTCTCATCTAGTGTGAGGAAATGGAAGAATTTATCACTGGCTGTCTTATCTGTTATAAAACATGAATTTGCATAAAAATAGAATAGTTTGCTTTTAATATACTCTTTGGGGAGCATTGCTGAGATCAGCAAGTCCATCCTGTTGAAGAAACTGAAACAAGAATCGACAAAGAGCCCTGTGGCACCTTATAGACTAACAGATGTATTGGAGCATAAGCTTTCGTGGGTGAATACCCACTTCATCAGACGCATGCGTGGGTATTCACCCACGAAAGCTTATGCTCCAATACTTCTGTTAGTCTACAGGACTCTTTGTCACTTTTTACAGATCCAGACTAACATGGCTACCCCTCTGATACCTGAAACAAGAATGTTCTTTCTGATGATTTTTTCCAACATCACAAATGGTTAATTGATAACCTACCTGTTAGTTATCACCTGATGGTGATCTCTCCTGTCTTCTTAAGGGTCAGATTTGCACAAAGGTCTGTGTCAGCACAGATGACTTCTGCTGGCATACACCCCACCCTAGTGCAGAAAGATCATTATATTGGCAATTGGCTAAGATATACCAGTATAGTTGTACTAATGGATAGGCTATTGTCTGTGCTGCTAACTTGTATAGAACTCTTTAGGGAATTGAAGGAGTCTAGCTGGACAACGCTAGGCTCTCAAAGGCTAAAGGCTGTGAAAGGTAACTAATGACTCAGCCCTGTGGGAGAAGGAGTGCCTCACATCTCTCTTGAGTGCCCCCATTATGTAAAGTTTTACAGCCTGACGGGAACCCAATAGAACCCAACTAAAGTGTCAGGTTTGAGTGTGGTCTGACAACAACCCGACCTGCTCAGGTTGTCTCTGATCACCTCCTCCTGCCTGTGGGGTTGGTGCAGTGGCGGCTATGTGCCCCAACTGCTGCTGGCCACTGCCACCTTATTGCGCTGTGTATGCTACAGAGTGAGTGTACTGACGAGTCGCAGAGCACACATCTATGGGGTGTGAGGAGCGGGAAATACTCACCAGGCTGAGCCCCAAGCAGGGCCGGCTCCAGGGTTTTGGCTGCCCCAAGCAGCCAAAAAAAAAAAAAAAAGCCGCGATCTGCGGCGGCAATTCGGCGGAAGGTCCTTCGCTCCGAGCGGGAGTGAGGGACCGTCCGCCAAATAGTTGGACCTGCCGCTCCTCTCCGGAGTGGCCGCCCCAAGCACCTGCTTGCCAAGCTGGTGCCTGGAGCCGGCCCTGGCCCCAAGGATGAGTCAGCAGCAGTGTGCTGACACAAGCTCAGGGGGAAATACCGGGTTTGGGTCGGGTCTGAAAATGACTCAACACTCTCCAGTCTGGTTTGGGTCCAGTTTGGGCTTTAAAATTAGGCCTGAGCAGACTTCTACCACATATCTGATTGACAGGCTCAGAATGAGTCTCCTCAAACTGTAATTAGCTAGAGAGAGGATCAACGCAGCATGAGACTTAAGGATACCCCCAAGTGTAATCACGTGCATGAACACACATGCATGTGTGCACACGCACACACATATACACTAGTGAATTTGCAAATAATTTTGCACCAGCAATGAGTATTGTCCCTAAAGTGCACTTAAAATTATGAATACATTTGCATAATAGCACTTCTAAATATATACATGTATTTAAAATTCAGCCCACTATTTATTAACAAAATTACACTGGAAAGTGATTGTGTTTTATTTTGTTTCTTTAAACCTTGAGTGTCTGGGCTATTTAAAAAAAATTGTACTAAATACCAAAAGCAATCAGTGCAAATTAGTCTATTGACTAACCTCTGAAATGTTACTTTAGGAAATGTTTTTGAGTTATACAACTATGAAGAGCCTTAAGAGTTATTAAAATAATCCTTCCATAATTTCATAAACAGTAAAGCCAGTTTTTATTGCAATTGTATTAAATGAAATAAATAACACAAAGTGCCTCCTGGCTGAGGATGCTGAATTCTGTTTCAGCTTAAGCTGAATATTTACAGCTCAGTTATAAACAGCTGACAGGCAAGAATTATAATGGAAGCGATGAAGCATCTTTATATCTGGCAATGGGAGGTGGCACAGCTATAGTCTAATCAGAAGGTGTCTAAACCCCACTTGTTTTATCAGCAGCACAGTCACGATGAAATGAGAAAATAAAATAACAGGCCTGATTCTTCAGCCCTTAGGGCATGTCTACACTTACCTCCGGAGTGATTGATCTAGCAGGGGTCATTTATCGCGTCTAGTGACGACGCGATAAATCGACCGCTGAGCGCTCTCCCGTTGACTTTGGTACTCCACCAGAGCGAGAGGCGCAGGCGGAGTCGACAGGGGAGCGTCAGCAGTTGACCTACCACAGTGAAGACACTGCGGTAAGGAGCTCTAAGTACTACGCTATTTTCGTAGCTGAAGTTGCATAACTTAGACCGACTTAGCTCCCCCGCCTCCCCTGCCCTCCCCTCCATGTAGGCCAGGCCTGAGTCACATGTGGCAAAATTCACAGGCTTACACAGCACTTAAGTCCTATATAAGCCCTTTGGTGAGGGTTTATGTGGGACTTAAGTGATACACAGGTCTCATGCCAGCCCTCTGCATAGGACTGACTTTCACCCATATACGCAAGATCAATTGAAGTCAGCTGGACTTCAGGTTGCCAGGCATCCAGTTTTGACCGGAACACCTAGTCAAAAAGGGGCCCTGGTGGCTCTGGTTAGCACAGCTGACTGGGCCACTAAAAGTCCAGATGGCCGCAGTGGCGGCCTCCACCCAGCTCCCGGAAGCAGCCGGCATGTACCCCTGGCTCCTAAGTGCTGGGATGGCCAGGGGAGCTCCACGCACGGCCCCTGCCTGCAGCACACGCACCGCCCTGAGCGCTGGCTCCGCGCCTCCCATTAGCTGGGAACTGCAGCCAATGGGAGCTGCGGGCGTGGTGCCTGCAGACAGGGCCAGTGCATGGAGACCCCTGGCTGCCCCTGCACCTAGGAGCCAGAGGGACATGTCTCCACTTCCGGGAGCTGCCTGAGGTAAGCCGTGGCCGGAGCCCGCTCCCCTGCCCCAGCCCTGAGCTCCTTCCCACACCAAAACTCCTTCCCAGAGCCCGCACTCCAACCTCCTGTCCCCTCCCACACTCTGCACCCCTTGGCCCCAGCCCAGAGCCCCTTCCTGCACCCCAAACCCCATATCCCCAGCCTCACCCCAGAGCCCACCCCCCCCCCAGCCAGAGCCCTCACCCCGCACCCTAACCCCCTGCCCCAGCCTGGAGCCCCCTCACACACCCTGAATCCCTCATTATTGGCCTCACCCCAGAGCCCACATCCCCAGTCTAGAGTCTGTATCCCCTCCCATACCCCAACCCCCTGCCATAGCCCGGCACCCCCTCCCACACTCCGAACCCCTCGGCCCCAGCCTGTATCCTCCTCCTGCACCCCAAACCCCTTATCCTCAGCCCCACCCCAGAGCCCGCACCCCCAGCCAGAACCCTCACCCCCTCACGCACCCCAACCCCCAGCCCAGTGAAAATGAGCGAGGGTGGGGAGATGGAGCAAGTGGGGGGTGGGGCAGGGGTGTTCGGTTTTATTCAATCAGAAAGTTAGCAGCCCTAACGTCAGTGGTTGGGGACCTGAGGACAGAATCCATCTGGAGGATCAGATTCTGCACTGCCATGTACCTTGTGTGCTCATTGACACCTGTGCAAGCCTCGCCACATCAGAATGGTAGCGTTTTACATTCACTTTGCACATATATAAACAGTTCCTAAGGGTTTCAGACAGTGGAGGTCTCAGTGGTCTTGTCATCTTTTATGTAGATATTTTGTAGTTAACAGACTTTAAAATGACTAGAAGTGGTCTGAGGCCTCTGCAAACCTCAAACCAGCCATCTAAAAGCTGCTATTAATACTGTCACAATCTAATTTGCGTTAAAAAGAAAAAAGTGATTTGCACTGCCTATTCTTAGAACTTACCTTGAAGTAGTAGTATCCTAAGCTCTTTCTTGGCCAGATAAAATGTATTGATTATGCATAAATGCAGAGAAGAAATTTAAGTGGATAGAATTTTGACTAAATCTCTCTTCTCCCTGCAATTCTCCTTGAATTATTCTGTTTCCTGGGATGAAATGAGCAGGTAGAAAGAAACTGGTACTACACCAGCACGTTTGGAAGTTATGTGTGTTTGACCTCTAATAACCATATCCTGCTTTTGCTGAAGACAATGGGGCGTTTGCTTTTGCGACTTTGATGTCAGCAGGGATGGAATTGGGGCCAAGAAAAGGTATTCAAAAATATTTCCCATCTTCCCCCTTTGGAGTTTCCCATGTTGATTATATGCTTTAGAAATCAATCTCCTAACTAACAAGTTTGTCAAGGTTAATGTTTGGGGTTTAATGTTTGGCTTGCTGTAGATAACTCTCTTTCTTCTATTTATTTTATCTCTGCTATTTCCAAGGCATCTCCTTCCATGGTACCTGATTACCTAATTAATTCTTGGACTAATTCATTTGTCAAAACAATTGTGTGACAAACTCTGCTTTACAATGATGCAAAAAAAAATTCGTGTCATCTGGAAGTTAAAAAAATTAAAATGTTTTAACTTTCTTATGCAAAAGAGATATTAAAAGTCT